AGGAAGAAAATTAACTCTATCCCAGCTGAAACAAGGACAAACCTCAAAGTAAAGAACATACTCATGAAGGAGAGACCGCAGTGTTCTGGAGGGTAAAGTCTTCTCTCTGACCACAGAGTAGGTGCAGTTGAACAAAATTTTTGCAGGACCTAGGCAGTGAATTTGCCTTTTCTGCAAGCTTTCCTATAGGGTATATCAGATTTCTAGGGTTAATGATGTTGGGTTTGTCTAACAGAAAGCTAAGTTCTGTAGTCAAGTATTACCTAGTTTTTCTAATATGAACAGAAAAATAAGTCTTTCAGACTTCATTACAAAACTGGAGCAAGAGTTAAACTTAGATGTAAGTAAAGCTATTTGCAAGAACACTAAAAAAACCCAGATCTTGTGATTATATTTGTTTTGCAATGCTGTAAAAAAAATCCATCAGACAGCGCAATTCCAACAGACATCTGTGCCTAGGAGGTAACACTCCTGTTAGGGATAGGGCTGTAGATAACTTTTTTCAGACCTGTGTAGTCCATTTTTATCCTCATTTGACTCCTTGTTCTGAGTGTACAGGGATTTCTGAGAGCAGAGGTAGTTATCCCAGCATAAGCAGGGGATGCCGGATCTTTCACAGCATGCAGATGACCAGAGGGGGTCAAAGACAGTGTTCGGCTCATTATCATGTGAAATTCAGCTGGGACTGAAACTCAGGCTGGCAGCCAGTCTCTCAGCTCACTGCACCAGCAACCTCTGCGTGGATGTCACCGCTCTGTTTGCCCTGTCTCTTTGAGTGTCTGAGGTGTTCAAAGAGCTGTCTCAGCCTCTCAGGGACATTTCAATGCATTTATCGTCTTCCTTGACAAGCCTGTCTGTCTTTCCGTGGCTGTGGATTTGCATGCCCTGGTGAACAGAAGAGCTGGGGATGGCTGTTTAGTATCAGTCCCTCACACGTACATACTGGTGCTTGCACGCACTTTCAATGTCTTCTTCCCACCCCATACACATAACACAAATAACCACCCCTGACTCCAGCAGGCCAGTCCGCACGTTCTGGAGACTGCAGCTGTAGAGGAGCCAATGCTCAATGTTTTAATGATACGTGGGAAAATGACCTGATTTCTTTCTCGGAGATGTCTCTGTGTCATGTCTCAAGGGCATGATTTATCTTTGCCGAGGTAACTGTCGTTTATGAGCCAGGCCTTGGTTCAGGGCAGGATATCAGCAAGGCCATGCTGTGTAGCCTTAATGGGATAAGTAAGCAGTGGGTTGTATTCCATCAAAGCCCTGTATTGTTTCTTCCTTGTCTCTCATTAAAATGAATAACTGGAATTTCTCCTTTGCCACTGTTTCACTCTGAGAGGATTTCTCTCTAATAGATGTCAAACTGGCCCATTAAGAAGTGGGTAATGAAACCTAGGTGGCCCAAGTGAGCTATCAGCATGCAGCCCAGCACAGCCTCTCACCACGTTCAGGCTAAGTGATAAATGCTATTATAACCTCAGCTTGCTACCGCCGTCCGGACACATTAGGAATGAGCAAGCATTCTAAAATAAATTAAGATCACAAATAACTGTGTAAAACACAGGAAGCAAGTCTCATAATTCAGGTGGATGGGCTGCAAGATTAACAGCTCTGGGAAAGCTGGATTGCAGCTCTCTCCAGTTCATCGACTGTGACACCTAATAAAATAACAAAGGAAGAGTTTGGGCAGAAGGAGCAAATGCTAGCTATTGTTGACAATGGAGAAATGGGGAATTGGCTCGTAATTCTTAGACATCCCAGTGCCCCGGAGATGGTCCTTCCTCCCACAAGGTCTGGAACTTATTGCAAAGGTCAGTCTCAGTTGATGAATGGAAGGGGACAAGATGGGTCTGGTTTTGCTTCTCAGATCTGGCTATGGAAGATACTCAGAAAACTACCCATAATAAGAGTATATCGCTTTGTAGCCTTAGGTTTACAGAGTTTTTTTCTGAGGGTTCCAGATGGTTCAGCAGAAGCCATGCTGGGGGATCCTGTGGGGAGAACCACAGGGCAGTGAAGCTGGTGGAGCTGACATTAGTTGTGTAAGAACCTGCTACTAAATGAAGCCTTCATTAGAGTTAATTGCCGCCCCCACGTTAATGCTGGGAACCAGATGAGTTTTAACATGCATACAAGAGCACTTCATCAGAGAAAGGCTAAGACAGATGAACTAGTTGCACAGAGCAAGTGTCAGCTCATTTATAATCCATTTGGAAATCCCTAAATGGCTGCTCATGATAATCTGGGAGTGCTGTCCCATGGGGAGGATCAGTCTGTGAGTGCCCTTGTCTGATGCTTCTCAAACGTCCGCTACCAGCCTGGTATCAGAGAGAAGTCGTGGGTAGACCAATCTCTGGTTGAATCCAACACAACAGTCATTTTATTATCATTCTGGCTGTGAGGATGTTTCTGGCCTTGCTACCATTCATACAGATTTTGCCTGAGCGTTGGCAATGCAGGCAGTAATTCAGAATCAATTTGTACGACAACAGAAATAAGAGGTAGTGTTGCCAGCAAAGAAACCTTATGGAAACAGCACAATTCTCTCAGAAACTGGCAATTCTTGTGTTTTTACAGGTTCTGAGGGCATGCTGGTTTGGGCCTTTTTTTCACTGTCTTCTTTCTCTGTGTGGATTGGCCCAAATGCAGATGGTATCTGGCTCTAGTCACCTGGTAAGAATTTAACAGTGCTGCTGGAAATCAGTGGAGAGGAATTTTGGTGGAAATCCAGAGTCAGCAAGAATAATGTGATTTTTAGCTCTATTCTTTCTGTATTTTTTTAAATCAAGGGGGGGAAAGACAGCTAGGGACCATCTGATCAATGACCCTGTCCCCCATAATCACAGACAACACTGCAACAGATGGTGCCTTTCTACATAGACAAGGGAGACTTTTCAGCTAACATAGAAACTTTCAAACATTACAGATCTGTAAGCAACTGTGCTGATAAAAGAGAATAAAAACCTAACTCCTCGGGCATCAAGGAGAAAGGAGTAAGTGGCAAAGAACATATATTGGGACACCATGAGTATAAAGATATAAATAATTTCAATGAACATGCAAGAGGAATCTTCTATTGAGTGACTTGCCCAGGCAGCTTTGTTCTGGAGATGTGGTTTGAAGCTACCCCAATGCACTAAAACTGCCCTATAGTCTAAACCTCCTGACATCTTGCCCAGGTAGGTGTCTGCAGCAGGGACTTTAGATGGGAGGATGCGCAGAGTAGCTCTCTAGTCTTGCTCAGTGTTTCAGCTTCATTCACAGGACAAATGGACCCCAGCTCCCTGCTTTGTTCCTCTAATGTCTGAAATATAAATCTTGTTTAACCTTTTTTTTGGGAAAAGCACTGTATTTTCATCCCTGACCCCGTAGTAAACAGGTTGGTTCAGGTAGTTTATTCTCCCTGCCTGTGGAATCTGCTTGGGGATCTCACCTGTCTAATTTCAGACTTGCTGTTCAAATATCATGTGTGAAAGCTCTGTCCTTCCTCTAACAAGATTATGAAGTTTTCTTTTGCTGTGTCTTCCTGTCTTCAACTGAACAGTCTCATGGGGAAAATATGGGGAGGAAGGGTAGATAAATGAAGCTCTACTTCCTTAGTTGGTCTCTGCTAAATATCCTTGGTTTTCATCTTGCAGATCATCAAGCTTGAAAAAAATGGGAACGGGTACCACTACATTCTGGCAAATTTGGTGAGTTGCCCTCCTTGGCATATTTTTTTAGTATCTTGTATTTTGTAAAGCGCTCTACTTACAGCTACTGAGCTGGAAGACTTTTTTCTAATCCACCTTTTGGGTATAAAAAACACCAAAGTCATTTACGGTGTTCTCCTTGTGGGGTTTTCTGTCTTGAGCTAGCAAGATTATCTTCAGGGTATCTCCAAGGTTGCTAGAGGTTTTTCGTCTTTTTTTTTTTCCTCCAGATTCAATCTGCATCTTTTCAAAGCCAGTTAAGCAAACTGTCAAGTAATGCTTGTTGCGACGATTTTTTTTTTGCATGTCATGGGCACCTAGGGTCCTGGTATTGCCCTCTCAGCTTGTTTCGGTCAGGCCACCATGAAGTTTTTAACTATTGGTAACAACTTGCATTTTCTAACTAGCTTTAACTCCACTTCACTGTGTGTCCCCCAGGTGAAGTGTTTCACAGCCATCCTGAGAGCCCCACCTAGGGCAGACTTGTTAATGACGATGCACTAAGATCCTTCTGACTTTCCAGTAAAGTAAAATATGTACCTATTCTGCAGTTTGGTGCTAAATCAAATATTACTGTCATGGCTTTAAGGAATGAACTGGATTTAAAGATTTCTCTAAGGAAAGGATTCTCCCTTTAATGCGGGGAGGTGCTGCCTGAGAACAGACCTGTGCTGGGCAGCAGCAGCAGGACCATCTTTTTTGAGCAATATGCTGTCCTCCTCTAGGAGGGTGGAGAATTTCTCCACCTAAGGAGGTTTGGGAAGAGGTAAAAGAGAGAAATAGCCTAAATCCATAGGGCAGCTGGAGCTTTTCCATGGCAGAGCTCCTACCTTCTCCTCCCCAGACGTGTCCATCCACCCGGGGCGATGCACAGCAGAGGACGGGCTGGTGTCGGCAGCCTGGGCTGAGGCTGCTCTCCCCAGGACCTGCTGTGTCCATGCGGGGTCTGGAGCCTTTCTTCCCTCCTGCAGCTGCATCTGTGAGGCAGCACGTCAAGCCCGGGGTAATTAAACTTTAAACTACCAATTAGTCAAGCAGTTGCTGCTGTTCTCCTTCTCTCAGTCCCAAGATAACTCTGTAATTTACAAGACAAAAATGGCCACATAATTACCCCATGATGCCCTGATACTGACCCTGGACTTCTGCGCTGGGTGCCTACCATGTAATTACAAAGTTAAAAATATTACGTTGTGCAGGGGGAGACATGCAAACTGTAGAGCAGCCAATAACTTCAGTTGCTAATTTTTAAAAAAATATTATTTTCTGTAACCCGGGTCCCGGTCCTCAGATGTTTATGAAAGTCCCTTCATTAAAGTTAAGCAGGGAAGCTATCTGGAGTAGCTGGAGTGTGTGTGTCTGTGTGCTTTTCCGTATACCCATGTGGAAGGCTAAATAAGAATGCTATCACTTCTTCTCCCTGCACTGTTTCATAAGGATAAATACGTTACAGGCATGAGGTGGTCTAATACTCGGGTGTTGGAGTTATGAAGGGCATTTCCCTCTGTCTTATGATACCACCCACTCCCATCTTCAGCCTGAGAAAGCACACTTTTCCCATCTTTAATTTGTTTTCTTAGCCTTTGCACAAATGCTGAAAGGACAGAGCTGGCTGGAAGAGGCTGCATACTCAGCCAAGAGGGATTATAAATAATTAACTCAGAGCAAAAGGCTTTTCATTTCCCCAGCGCCTCTGCAGGGAGATTCTGCCTCCCAGGTGTGGCTCAGAGGGGACTGCTTTGGGTCCCCAAGACCCACAGGGCCTGATGGGACCACCAGAAACTACTGTTACTAGCTGTGCTTTTCAAGAAGCTTTGATTTGGGAGGAGAAGAAGAGTGAAAGGAGTTCAAGCTCTTTCCTTTGGTCTTTCCTGCTCCTTAAAACCCAGCATTGCAAAAGAGTGAAATTCCAAAGACAAGAAAAAAAAGAGGAGGGGATAATCAGAAAATGTGGGAAAACTACTTTAAAAAAAAGGACTAACGCTCCTGAAGGTTAAGGAGGCCATTTCCAGGGCAGAACAAGTTTTGTGGTTCTGCCATGCACATGGGCAGGTTCAGGCACCAGAAGCCGAATCAGTTTCTGTGATGTGCTGCACTCACAAGACCTACTCGCTGATCAGTTCTACAAGGAGAATGGCAAAAAGGCCGTGAAGATCCCAAGTTCCTGAGACCATTATTACAATGAGGAAGGACAGCAAGCCTCCCTCTGCGGGGATGACCAGGGATGTTATAAGGGATTGGCAGAATGTGGGAAGTTGGTGTCTGCTAGGGTTAAACCATAGTGTGGCTGCTCTGATCCAAGAGATCACAGTAGGTTTTACCCTCTTTTAAGGACATCTCATTGCTGGATTAGAGCCTTCAGAGGGTGTAACGTGATAATTTATTCCCCCTGACTCATGCATATAGTGAATAGACATGAAACACCCCACATTCTCCCCTGTAGACAAGTCCTAAGGCGACAGGGTGTGCATTGCCTACACACACGCACATACCCTCATGTGCACACCCGCATGCCTAGAAAACAGTCTGATTTTGTGGAAGTGGCCTATTCTGGAGTACTCGGTCATAAGAAAATACATTAAGAACTAAAAACTGCAAGTGCCTGACCATTTCCAGATGAGTTATTTTTTTTCCCCTGTGCTGGACTGATGACTCTCTTCCTATATGAAGATAAGGCTCCCAGCCCTGGCTGGTTCATAGCCACCAAGTTACCTGCACTAGCTGGAGCAAGGGGATGAATTTTCAATAGCTGCATTTTGCAGCATTGCCTAACCTTCTTGGGCCCTTTCCCAAGGGGAAACAATTGTGGAAATGACACATTGGAAGCAAATGTTGGGAAATATTTATGGATAACCCCACTGGAATTCTTATTTTTGGCTATATGCTCGTTCAGAGCTATACTCAGCCAAAAAAACAAGCAGCAGCACACTACTGCCCAGTTACAGCAGCTCCAAAATGCGGTTACATCAGGAACGCAAAGCAAGTGAGTTTGCAAGGCAATGCAAAGGCTGAATAAGGCCTGCAAAAAGAATCCATTTTGGACATGGAGGAATTCTCTATCTGGTCACCGTCAATTCCTGAACAAAGAGGAACTGGCTTGCATTAATCACCACTTGTTTGCCCAGCGGTTGCTGTCAGGTGAGCTGTACTAAAGCACCAAGCAGAATTTGACAAGTAGCAGCAAATGAAAGCTAGTATTTCTGAGCATGAACAGCTTTCTTTTTCAGTGAGATTGCTGTTGCCAAGGTGAGACAATAATATTTCTGTGTTCACAAACAAAATGAAACCGTTCTGCCCCTTAGGCCATGGGCAAACATTCTTCTCCGAGTCTGCTATACCTGTTAAAGACACAACCCGTCTTGTCTGCTCAGCCCTGCCCACCCCATGAAGGTCTGTCTCCAATGTCACTGCCAGGGGAAGGGTTCTTTTGAGCATCCCTGCCTCTCCTTGATATGAATTTGGCACTGTCTATGGCTTTTGCAAACTCACGAAAACCTGATTCTTGACCAGTACCCATTAGAGTTACCCCAATTAGCTTTTACCAGCTGCCAGCCTGGATATTTATCAGGTATACCAGCACTGGGGGGTTGCAATCATCTCTCTCTCTCTGTATCTCTGTATCTCTGTATCTCTATTTTTGTTTTTGGAACTCAGGGAGGTTTGGCAACTTTAAGAAGTGTTTGGTTTTGTGAGTCTTATTTTTCTAAGCTTTGTTCTCAGCCTTTGAGAGCATCAGTCTAGCAACCACAAAGAAAAAAAAATACAGTCAATACTATCAGAGCAGCAAGCTTAGAAACTTCTGGGATTCCTTTCTTTTGATGTTACAGACTTTTTCCCCATAACCTTGGCTTTGTGTATCTGTTCGTCCTACGCCAGGGATGTAGGCTGACTACTGTCAGTAGCGGGAGAACATCAGCTCTCTTGGGCAGAGGAAAATCTTTGTCTTAAAATAAGTGACATTCGTGTGACCTGTCTTTAAAAGAAAAGTATGAAGGACAGCTGCCACATACAGCGTTTTAGCCTTTTTTTCTTTTCTGGCACATTAGTCCAGGTTGTTCTTTTAGCAAATGCTCTCGTTTGAAGTTGAATAGATAAGTGTATGAGATTGCTGATGCTAGGGGTAGCAGGGAAGAGTAAAGATAAAAACAGAGTTGATTAGCAGAGGTAAGCATTTCTTCCTGTGCCATTTTATATCAGCATGTGTCAGTGCTGAGTTAGACCATGGACAGAGTTTCACTTTGCAAGCAGTCTTGGTGGCTTTGGAGGTTACCAGCACAGCAGCTTTGTCAGCAGAGTGGCTTGTGCAGGAGTCAGGCAAGATCTACTGGTTTGATTCAGTTCACCTGTGGTTTAAATGGGCCTCTCTGATTTTTTTGCCTGCAAAAATGGAAATGAAAACTTCTGCACCACCAGGGCTTAGACACAGTGACCTGAGACCAACCAGTTGGATCAGACAGCAAAGAAGGGATACCCTCCCAAATTGGCTGTCAAAAAGGATGTCCACATCCCTGGGGAGCAAAGCTCTCCCATCACAGGCAGAGATCAGCTCCCCGTTAGCAATGCAGCACACATACATCCTGCAGCATGTGCTGTGGCCCCATGGGGAGAGTCTGCTGTGCCCTTGCTGGGTATGATCCTAGTGCAAGAAGCTGTACCTGCCACAGCACAAGTGTGATGTGTGGCACTGGCCATGCATCGATGGCTCCACTGACTGCACCCAGCCCCTGATTCAGCTTGCCTGGGTGGGAGCGTTGATCTGCTCGAGGGTAGGAAGGCCCTGAAGAGGGACCTGGACAGGATGGACCAATGGGCTGAGGCCAACTGTATGAGGTTTAACAAGGCCAAGTGCCGGGTCCTGCACTTCGATCACAACAACCCCATGCAACACTACAGGCTTGGGGAAGAGTGGCTGGAAAGCTGCCTGGCCAAAAAGGACCTGGGGGTGCTGGTTGACAGCCAGCTGAACATGAGCCAGCAGTGTGCCCAGGTGGCCAAGAAGGCCA